TATGGGTATGATCTTTCACATGACTGACATTGTAATTGAAAGGGATTAGAATGGTTTGGGTTTTAACTTTTTCTTTGCCACCTAGCACATTTAAACATTTCATGTTTAAAAAAATATGTAACACTCCCCCAACGAAGGCTCAAAATGATAGACAATAAAAATAAAGCAAACATCCCTTAAACCACACTTCTCAAACACCAGAACATTATCTGACCAAAATTAAACCAATAATTGTCTTTTGATCCACAGTAGTTTGATTCACAGTACTATGATATTTTACTTTGAAATCTCATTAATCTAAATAGATTGCTTAAGCAATCCTTAACCCACTCATTAAAGCACTTGTTTGAGGTAGATGGTTACTAACATTTAAATAGATTACCTGAAAATCTTATCAGATACAAAAGCCTTGCTTTTAGAAATTCTAATTGATAGGGAAAGTTGAACCTGTTTCCTAAAGAAAAATCCCCAAAGTTCAGTGTGAGGGCCCTGAGATTTAATTGTTCTGTGTTTCTGTGTAAATGTTGATTATTCCTTGGTTTATATGAGTGCTTGACTTGCGTGAGTGCGTCAATATCTAGGTACGTGCAATGCATGGATGTGTAAATAGATTGCACATGTATACTCACAGGCTCAGTGGCAAATATGCTTCCACAGCCACATGTACCAGCCAATAGAAGATAATATGAGAGAAGAGAATATACTAGCATTGACTCCAAATATTGTATATCCTGGCCTAAACAAAGATGCTCTTCAGAAGGCCCCATGACTGTCAGAGGTAAATGAGTTTGCTGAAAAGCATTTCGCTGGTAGATTTTCCTAGCTCTGCCTGTTATTTTTATTCTATCAAGCAAAGAGAAACCATAATGAAGTACGTTAAAAGGTGCCTGAAATTAAAATTGATATAGCACCTGCATGGTTTGGAGGTCAGGCTGTTTGAAGGACCACCTCTCCCCTATTACAAAGGTCCTCCCAACCCCCAGTCCATTAACCAGCACTGGTTCACAGCATGCCAGAAACCAGGCTGCACAAACAAGCAAAGCCCCATCTGGGGGATGTAGGCAGCCCATTGTTGGGAAGGAATATCCCTCTGGTTCAGTTTCAAGCCAGGAGGAAGACACTGGAAACACAGAGGGTGCTTGGAAAGATGGTTTAATGATGAAGCAGAACCACATGATGGTTCTGGGCAGCTAACCATATGGCATTGAGGGTGAGGGGTATTTATACCTTCTCTTGGGGTTTGCACTTGAGCTTCCTGTTCCTGTGCAAGAACATGTATTTTATTGCCTGTTGTCAGACTCCCATGGGGCCATGTATGCATCCTAGGAGTTTGTCTGAGCTAAGTTTGGTTGAAATTTGGACTGCTGATGCAATGAAGGGGCTTGTTGGGAAATTCCTAATGTGGCTAATCCTACATTTGTTCAGATCTTGCTGCAGGGAATTTTTGCCTGTGAATAGAGCTACCTATGAATAGAGCTACCTAGATCTCAATAAACTCTTTGTCTCTTAAGTGCTGACATTTGGTGAGGGCTATTAAGAAAGATGGAGGCTTCTTTCTAAGAGCATGTTTCCCCACTTTTTTCATCCAAGGAAATATAATATTCTGCCTTTTAATATTTCTCAAAATATTTCATTTTTCTAGGAGAGGGGTGGGTGCTAACTTTCTACACCACAAAAACCACACTCCCTCTGGCCCACAGAAAAACCTCTCTCCATGGAATCAGTTCCTGGTGCACAAAAGGTTGTGGGGGAGCACTGCCCTATTACATCCATTCACACAACAGAACAGGAAGGCAGTGTATGTTATGAGCCCTATCAACTAGGAACGTACATCTGGTGGGACCATGAAAAAGGGCCTTCTTGCTGGTGGCCCCTTCTCTATAGAACATCATTTCCCGCAAAGTAGGGTTGGCCCCCACCTTGTTGCTTTTCCAAAAGGCCTAAAGACATGGTTTGGTCATAGGCCTGGGGACCATAAATGGAGATAAAGTCGATCAAGTAGCCGATTTGATTGTGTGCTGATGCCATGGTGGTGATTGGAGGCTATGGATTTAATGCAGTGGTGGGCTGCTGGATGATCAGCAAGGTTCGGGCTAACCCCTTGCTGTGATCTCTGGTGGGGCCTGCCCACCCACCCTTGTGCTATGCTTTCCCTAAATAACTAACTTTTCCCCACCCAGACTGCCCAGGCGAGTTCCGCACCGCCCTGCTGTACTCACTCACTTTACTCACGACTAGTGAACCCCTTGTCAATGAAAGTGCAGCCCACCCAGTGGTGGGATTCAAAAATTTTTACTACAGGTTCTGTGGGTATGGGTTCTGTAGGTGTGGCATGGCTTGGTGGGCATGGCTTGGTGGGCATGGCTTAGTGGGCATGGCAGGGGAAGGATTCTGTAAAATCTCCATTCCCTCACCACTCCTGGGGGAAGGCTACCGCCGCTTCTCCAAACTACTCAAAATTTCCACTACCAGTTCTCCAGAACTGGTCAGAACCTGCTGAATACCACCTCTGATGTCACCCTTAGTCCTTCTTCTCGTGAAACTAGACATACCCAATTTCAGCAACCGTTCTTTACATGTTTTAGCCTCCAGTCCCCTAATCATCTTTGTTGATATCTTTTTTTACATCGTGGTGATCAAAACTGGATGATATTCAGGGACAAATTAAACAGAAGGAGGTGGGAGACATGTATATTTCCTTATATTTATTCTGGGACATGTATATTTGCCTTCATTCGTGATTGTTTCTTAGTCCCTTTCTTTGCGGGGTGTCCTTTCTGTTTAACATATCCCTGAGAACAAAACATGAAAGAAGCATTAGGAAAGGATACAGTAAAAGGGTTACACTTATTATCCTTTCCATCCAATCGTCCTGCAAGAAAGTCACAGTCTATATTCCATATATTCTCCTGCAGAACCTGTGAAAACTACAGCATGTTGGGAATTACAGCTCATCTTAGTTACTCTACCGACACCTAATGCTCATAGAAGTCACTGCATTTTTTGTGGCATTTGCAATTTCCTTATTCCTCGGGCTGAGATTCATCCAAGATCATCCAGCTGGCTTTGTGTCTGAGGCAGGACTAGAAATCAGGATCTCCAGGTTTCTCGCCTTATGCCTTAACCGCTATTGGCTTTTAAAAAAAATTAATACTGCACTTGAAATATTGTACAAAGACTAGTTTACCCACAATATTGGTCTCCTTTAATGTGGCCTCTTTTAATTCTGGTGGCGCAATATATAAACCTTACCAATACCAATTCCTGTGGTTAAGACATTTGTTAAGTGAGTTTTGGCCCATTTTATGACCTTTCTTGCCACAGTTGTTAAGTGAATCAGTTGATAAGTTAGTAGCCCAATTGTTAAGTGAATCTGCCTTGTCCATTGACTTTACTTGTCAGAAGGTCAAAAAGGGTGATTGTTAGGACACTGCAACCATCATATATATGAGCTAATTGCCAAATATCTGAATTTTGATCATGCGTCCATAGGGATACTGCAATGGTCATAAGTGTGAAGAATAGTCATAAGCCACTTTTTTCAGTCCCATTGTAACTTTGAACGGTCCCTAAATGAACTGCTATAAGTAGAGGACTACCTGGACTTTGGACCTGTGATGCAGAGGTAGGACAGACAAGAATAAAACATCTCGCTCAGCGGAGGTGAGAAAAATCCGAAGGAAAAAGGAGATTACTAAAATGCCCTTGGTAGAGCTAGAATGAAGAGATTGCCCTATTTGGCCAAGAATTTGGTTCTTCTGTATCTCTTAATGGGTTTTTGCAACCTGGAGAGACTACCAACTTCTACCCTCAAAACAACTCTATGGGGCACTGCATATCAGAACAACTAGACATAAGGACAGTTTTCCCCCCATGCCATCACTCTGCTAAACAACTAATTCCTGCAACAGTCAAACTATCTAGAAAGGCAGTACTACCATCATTATTCTCATCTTCCCTATTATCTATCTCCTTATCTTCTTTTGACTATAACTTTGTTGCTGTATCTTATGATTTATATTGTTTACTTAGTATCTTAGTATGATTTATGTTGATTGCTTATTTCAGGGGTGTCTTACTCAGGCCTGTGGGCTGGATGTGTCATGTGCTGGCTATCCCCACCCGGGGATTTAGCAAAAGGGGAGGCGAAAGTTGTGATACATCATGTGATGACAACATATTGCAAGTTTGACACCCTTGGCTTATTTAGCCAACAAGACTATCACTAAGTGATATCACTAAGTGTTGTATCTACTAATGTTTTATGATATGTGTATTTTTACAATGACTATGGTCATGATCTATCACTATACTTGTATGTACACTGAGAGTCTGTTCACTGGACACAAATTCCTTGTGTGTCTAATCACACTTGGCCAATAAAGAATTCTATTCTATTTCTGTTCTGTTCTGTCCTATCCTATCCTATCCTATCCTATCCTATCCTATCCTATCCTATCCTATCCTTTCTTTCTTTATCCTATCCTATCCTATCCTATCCTATCCTATCCTTCCTTCCTTCTATTTATCCTATCCCTATATTCTATCCTTCCTTATCCTATTCCTTCTCTCTCTCTCTCTCTCTCTCTCTCTCTCTCTTTCTTTCTTTCTCTATCCTATCCTCCTATCTTTTCTTTATCCTATCCTATCTTTTCCTTCCTTCCTTCCTTCCTTCCTTCCTTCCTTCCTTCCTTCCTTCCTTCTATTTATCCTATCCCTATCCTATCCTTCCCTATCCTATTCCTTTTTTTCTTTTTTTCCTTTCTTTCTATTCTATCCTATCTTTTTTTATCCTATCCTATCCTTTCTTTCTCTATCCTTTCTTTCTCTATCCTATCCTATCCTATCCTATCCTATCCTATCGCCGGTGAAGCTGTCAATCGCTCCCGTGCAATGCCGAGCAAACAGCAACTACAGCTACCGCACTATTTGCCGAAGGCGCATTTAGAGGAGGTCAGCCCTTCTAAACTCGGTAGAGGGGGCGTGTATTCACACGTCAGCGTCTCCCTTCCAGCCTCCTCCGGCGGTAGGCAGATCCCTGGACCAGTGCGCATGCTTCGAGCCTCCTTAGAAGAGATCCTTTCGAAACGGGTGGATCTGGACTCGGCGGCTTCACGTGTGCCATGGCGAGCGGGGTAAGGGAGACGCTTTTGCACTGGAGCTTCAGAACTTTCCCGCGAGAGCAAAGTGGCCGCCTACGGCTCGAGGTGCCTCCAGGCGAGCTTTGTGCTCACTGAGGGCCGTGGGAAAGGGAGGGAAGAGGGGACAACAGTGGCCCTGGGTACCAGCAACTTGCTTCCCAGCGCATCCAGACGTTTGCCAAAAACTTCACGGGTTTTAGTAGGGTTTCCTTCCAGTGGGCAAAGGGTCTCGTTTTGTTTTTAAGAGCCCTCAATTGTGCTGGCGAGACCCCCGAGTACAACCGTCGTATCTTGGATGACAACAGATGGGAGAGGCGGTTTTCTTGTATGGCTTGCCTGCCACGGGATAGTCTAGACTAGAGCAAGGGTCATCAAACTTCGCAAGTTTAAGACTTGTGGACTTCAACTCCCAGAATTCTTGAGCTAACATGACTGGAGGAGGAATTCTGGGAGTTGAAGTCCACAAGTCTTAAAAGTGGCCAAGGTTGGAGAGCCCTGCTCTAGGGATTTGGAGGTTCCAGAAGACACGTGTGTCCGTGGATAGGGACATGCAGATATTCGGGCATTTTAGCAGCCGAGTCCACAAATCCCAAGAACACAGCCTTGTGTTTCTCTCCTCAGACCAAAAAAAACAAAAAAAACAAATCACTGAGCTGTATTTGATTGTGGTCTTTGTGTGCTATTTCCCACCCACCCCACACACTGGGCTTGATTTCTCTGATTGATTTCTGCTTTGATTAACAGAACAAGCTTTCTAAATGCTTCAGGCATTCAGATTTGGTTTCTTCACACTATCCCTCTGTCAGATGGTTTCACAATCAATGCTAGATCAAAATATGGGGGCTTGCTTATTTCTGGGTTGGGGTATTACATGATCCTCACTAGTGTGATTTGTAAAGGCATACTTTAGAAGTGAATACATTCTGGGTTGGGGTATTACTTTCTAAACATAATGGGTACTGCATTCTAAACATAGTATGAAAGTACTTGATAGTAGCTAGTCAACAAACCATGGTTAAGTTTCTAGGTTTTGTAACAAAATTTGCATTCACACAAGCTTGTATTTGAGTATTTTTTTAACTTGGCTCATTTTCTCAGTTTGCCTCTTAATCTTTTCAGCTGGAGAGGAGTCCATATAGGTGAAAAAAATATTACTTTCAAATGAATCCTGTGTTCCAGATTTCCAGAATATACCCATAGAGTGAGGAATTTGGGAGTATTGTAATATTTATTTATTTCATTTATATCCTGCCTTTATTATTTTTACAAATAACTGAAAGCAAAGAACATATCCAATACACCTTCCTCTTCCTATTTCTCCCCAAAATAACATCCCTGTGAGGTGAGTTGGGCTGAGTGAGAGTGATTGGCCTAAAGTCAGCTTGTGTAGCTTAAGGCTTAAGGCAGGACAAGAACTCATGGTTTCCATGGGTGAAATTTGTAATCCATACTGAGATTATTGCGTATCCAAGCAATTTATGTGTTCAAGATCCTGCACAGCTGGGCAGAGTGTCTGTTCAAACCCACCAATATAGCAGTTGCAGAATAATGAAAATTACTTACAGAATATAATGCTCTGTATTTCATTACAATATTTGCTTCCAAGTGTTGTTTTGCAGTTGTTAAGGTAGGTCTTCAGAGATTCAGGATTCCAATTATCAATTTAACATCGCTTGAGCATCTTTTATTTCCCCTGAGTAATACAGTGTTTTAACTAGTTACCAAAAACAATACAGACTATATAAAAATACAAAAATGACAAATTTTCTGCAGCTGTTTAAAAAACTGATTTATTGCTTAATGTATCACATTTATTGCTCTAGCCTTTTGTAATTTCTAATTGCTAACAATGCATCTTAGAAAATACTTTTAAAAGTTTACTCTCTTATGGAAAAATTGCTTGAAATTGACCTATTAGCCAGTATAAATTAGGAAACTAGTGCTTTGTTCTCAAATCAGAAATTCTATATAATTTCAGAGTCTAAATTCTTATAAAACATTCTTTACTTTATTATCACATGGATTTATGCATAATACTTTGATCATTTATGCTTATACCTTTTTCATGAATGCCTAGTTGGTAAAGATAAGGATGCTGGAAGACTGCAAATATTTTACTTGGCATCATGTTTTTGAACCTTGCTCCATAAAAAATGAATTGGTTTCCATCTTACGATATATTTTGCAACTTTGTGCATTGCAGTATGAATTGAACAAACTGTTCAAGACAAAGCTTAAATCCAGATTAAAAAGGACAAGTGATAGTGCTATGGAATTTCTTCCACATTTCCCATTCCAAATGACATTGGCAAATTAAGAATTCTTCCCTTCTGTCTAAACATCTAGAATGCTTGTGATTTTGTTAGAAGTGAAGGTCTATTTTCAATTCTGGGAGGATCTCCAAAATTCCAGGAATGAGCAAGTTTGAGTCTTGAATGGAAATGCTGGGATTGATTCCAAGATTTAAATGTAACTGTCTCCATTGAATTCATTACATGGAAAGTTTCTTCTCTTCTTTAGGTTATCAAATGTAAGGCAGCTGTTGCCTGGGAGGCAGGCAAACCACTGTCCATTGAGGAGGTGGAAGTCGCTCCTCCAAAAGCCCATGAAGTTCGTATCAAGGTAATGAATCAGGGGTTGAATTTTAACAGATCTGCACATGTGGGTGAAGTATCCATTGCAGCTACTCTTAGTTGCCAATGTGAGGCTGATATTTTGGGAGACTATTTTTATGCTTTACAGTTCTTGCTTTCCATGATAAATGATAGAATCCAGTAACAGAATTGGTAATAACAGTTGTAAGTATTTAGTAGACCATTACACACACACACACACACACACACACACACACACACCCTTACAACTTCCTTGAGACACATTTTTCTTGACTTAGTGACCCCCGGAAGTATAAGCCTCAGAATTCCCAGCCATGGGTTCATCTAGTGGAGGAACCTATCTCAACAGCTATCAAATGTGTTTTGATGTAAGGAATAGACATGAACTTGAAGATGCTACAGATTTCAGTAATGATCATATATTTGTGCTGTGCTTCACATACTGTAGGCCAAAGTTCCCCCCAACCTTTTCAGCTTTGTGGACTGGCAGCGGGAAGAGGGAATGGTTCCATTCGCCAGCCACTTCCATGGCCCATTTCCTAAAGGCTCAAGGCCTGCTAGTGGACCATGGCCCAAGGGTTTGGGATTCCTCACATAGGCTATTTCAATGAACTGAAAAAAGGTCCCTGTCCTTCCTGATACAGTAGATGGGCTGAGGTTGAAAGATTTGATGTTGCATTTACATCTCAGTCCTTTCTGGGGAGCTCAAGAATATGCATTGGTCTTTTCTTTGCTTGCTTTATCCCCACCACTGACGGAGGAGAGAGATTAAACTGAATGGTAGAGATGATCGAGTGATAATATGAATCAAGTCTTCCCACTTTCTGTTCTGCTGTTTGGATTCAAAATTCTTTTTCTTAAACTGCAACAGAGTGTTGTTAAGGTTGCCCGGAGAAATGCTGGCGGTTGTTTTAATGTCTAAAAACATAAGCTGAATCCTGGAAACGTTTTGTCTTCCTCTATACAATGATTCATTGTAACTTCCTAGATTATTGCTACTGCAGTGTGTCACACTGATGCTTTTACTCTGAGTGGCGCTGATCCGGAGGGGAGCTTTCCTGTAATCCTGGGTCACGAAGGAGCAGGGATTGTGGAAAGTGTTGGAGAAGGAGTGACTAAATTTAAACCAGGTAAGAAGTTGGGTCTCTTGATGTTCCATCAAGTTGAGTAATGGCATAATAAGAGGAATAAGCTTATATTACATCCAAAGGAGCCTTGGTTTTCTTCAGTCAAGCATATTAGAAGGCATGATTATGAAATTGTTTAGGCTGCTTGATCTCTGCCTCAGGTTAGAATAGGTTATGCCTGTTCCTCAAATTTTTGTAAGGTTATGTGAGTCCTTGCCTGGCACCAAGTATAGAGAAGATGAGAGAAAGCCGGCTCCGCTGGTGTGGACATGTCCTGAGAGCAGTGCCTTCCACTGTTGCCAAGACTGCCTACCAACTAGAAGTCAATGGCCGGCGACCTTGCGGGTGCCCAAAACAGCGATGGCAAGATACTGACAACAAAGATATGCAAGCCATGGCCCTGCGCCTTGGAGACGCAGCTGACCATACAAAGTGCCATTCAATGATCTGAATAGCAGACCCTGCACTTGCGGGAATACGCTAGGAAGAAGAAGGTGTGAATCCTTGCCTTTGCTTGCATGAATTTTTATTTTTATAAATAAAACTTCTAGCACAAGGTGGGCGATTTGTGGTCTCCCAGAATCTTCCAGATAAAAAGGGATACTTTTTCTATTTTCTTTGGTTTTCAGAACATGCAAAATTGATCCACTGAGTTTAACACATTTTATTTTTAAGGAAAAAAAACAGAACCACTCAAATAGGGAACGGAGAGAAGTGAATGATCTGCCTCACTTCTTTTTTTTATTGTGTTTCCCAACACATCCCCTACAGTCCTTAGCTGCTCAGAATAGAGAAATGTATGAATAGAGGAGTTCCAGTTTAATACACTGTACTTTTGATCAGTTGAAATTATTTTCTGTTTTTCAGGAGACACGGTTATCCCTCTATATATTCCTCAATGTGGTGAATGCAAGTTCTGCTTAAACCCTAAAACGAATCTCTGCCAGAAAATAAGGTTGATGCTTTTCATTTTCTTTCCTGGTTTGTGGGTTATAGTAATCAAATAAGATTTATTAGCTTTTTGGCAGAACTGTGTGTGTGTGTGAATTCAACCCTGTATGTGTGCACACTTGGCTTATCAGGTGGAACAAGGAGGGGTTTGATATATTTTCTCAGTGCCAGGTTTATACAGACAGCCTGTTCCATAGAATACAAATGTCTTCTTGGCAATGAATGAAAGTTTTCATTTCTCCAAATTGTTCTTTGCCCTGTTGTGTCCATGGATGGGGATTTATAATCCAGATCACCTGAGGAAGGCTAACTCAAGTGGACACTCATTGTTCATAGTGTTCCTTTCCTAAATGCTCTGGTATATACTGAACATAAGAAAACTGGAAAACTCTTGTTTCCTATTGGATTTCCAGTTGGGGGATGGTTTCAAAGCTTCAGAATTCCTTCAAAACTCCTGTGTATGAACAGGATGTAGAACTTGAATGAGGAATCAGTTTGTTGGCAGATGGATGGATGGATGGGTTGGATGGATGGATGTTGAATTGAACCTTGATGCTCTTTGAGCTTGTTTACTTGCAGACATTTCATTGCAGGTAATATCAATGTCTTGATCATCAATGAAAGGCAATTGTAGGATTGTAGGATCCTTCCCACAACAGTTATGTTAATTATAGTTAAATTAAACTTAATGCTGACAAAGATTGCATATGATCAGTGAGATTGGAGTGACTGTAAGCCCTAGGCCCAAAAGATTTCCATAAAGAGAGATCATGAGTTGGTTTTTAGCTTCCAAACAAAGACACTGGCCAAGCAAGGAAGTAGATTTTAGACGTAGGTTTGGTTGACACAAAGGGTTGAGCACTGGTTTGATTTACCTAGGAAGCAAGCCTTGCCTTTAAGAGTCACTTTGCTGGTGGCATATGGCAGTATGTATTCATTGGGTGAGATGAATTCCTTACTTTCGTAAGATATCCAACTAACAACTTTTTATTTGGTTTTATAACTTATTGTTACAGACTTCTGCCTGCCCATTAGTGTTTATAGATATAATTTGGGATTGCTCTGGAAGACACAGTGGGTTCATGCCCACTGTGGATTGCCTGCCCTGTGACTTGTGGAATTGGCTACCTTTGCCTGGGTTCACACGGCACGCGAAATCTTAATCCATGGTTTACATGTGGATTTTGTTTCATATAGTCTGCAAAGTTTATAACTAAATTTCATCTCGGAATCAGGGCTGGGATTCTACCGGTTTACACCTAATTGCTAGAACCAGTTGTTAACATTCTAAGCAGTTCAGAGAACTGGTTGTTAGAAGAAATTACTGGCCTAATCCTGTAAGGAAGGCAGGAAAGAAACATTCCGGTGTTGTTTACAGAAACTGCCTCTCTGTTAACCCTTATTACATTCTTGGCAGGACTAGACTTCCTGTCTCTGGAACTTCTCTGGAGTTTTTTTTCCCCTCCTTTGCTGGTACTTTGCTTGTGTGGAGTGACCATTCAAAGTTACAATGGCACTGAAAAAAGTGACTTATGACCATTTTTCACGCTTATGACTGTTGCAGCATCCCCACAGTCATGAGAGGCCAGGCAAGGAGATGCGTGCCTCAATATGAGTGAGGTTGATTTGGCCACACCCAGCCAGTCACATGACCACCAAGCCATGCCCACCAACTAAGTCACGCCCACAGAACCAGTTGTTTAAAAATATGAATCCTACCCCTGCTCGGCATGATGCACTTAATCCAGATTTATGCTAAACAAAAAACACAGTGCACCAAATCAGGGTTTTAGGTCTGTACTACGGCCTGCTAATAACTTAATGGATTGTGATATGTGAATAATGTAATTTTCCCACTGCAGAGTCACTCAAGGAAAAGGGGTGATGCCTGATGGTACCAGCCGGTTCTCTTGCAAAGGAAAGCAAGTTCTCCACTTCATGGGAACAAGCACCTTCTCAGAGTATACAGTTGTGGCTGACATCTCCCTGGCAAAAATAGACCCTTCAGCTCCATTGGACAAAGTCTGCCTGCTGGGCTGCGGAATTTCTACAGGTTATGGGGCAGCCTTGAACACTGCAAAGGTAGGACATTTGCTTCCTCTCACTTCTTTTTCTTTCAAGGTCATTTTAATCCTAAAGTAAGTGTGTGTGTGTGCGCACGCACTTCCTTCTCTGTGGCCAATAGCCCAGCCTTTCTTCATCCCGCAATTTCTGGCATTCTTGCTTTATACAAAAACACAGGTGTGCATGGCCCAATTGGAAGTAGAGATGCTGAATCTATAGTGGTAGAAGGCTGAGTTTTCCTCAGTAATTGTTTGTTTTAACAAGATCTTTCTGCAGTGGTGGAAAATAGACAGCCTTGGGGACAACGTCATTCTTTCTCCTGCCTCTCTTATTTTACACAGGCAGACTAATAATGCTTGGCAATAAACCAGCTATTAATCCAGGTTAAGCGACTGCAGGATAACTAAACTAAGAACATACCATGGCTATGGATTGAGCACAATGGTTTGTGCATATTTTCCTCACGGCCCAGAGTTAGAAGAAACCTAATCACAATATAGCTTAATAGTGATAAATGAACCTACCCAAATTAACAAGTTATATTTGTCAGTTTTAAAAACAGAGTACAGCTTGGTTTAGTCTTTTGGAGAAGCTTTGAACTTTCCCTGTGTAAGAATTATTTTCTGTAGCTTTCTTTCTCATGTCGTTAATTGACTTATCACATTTTCTTTCAGGTTGAACCTGGTTCTACCTGTGCTGTCTTTGGCCTGGGTGGAGTTGGGCTAGCAGCTATCATGGGCTGTAAGGTGGCCGGTGCATCCAGGATCATTGGGGTTGATCTCAACAAGGACAAATTTACCAAAGCGATGGAATTTGGGGCTACAGAATGCATCAGCCCCAAGGATTTCAAGAAGCCTATTCAGGAAGCCCTAGTTGAATTGACAGATGGTGGAGTAGATTACTCCTTTGAATGCATCGGGAATGTCAGTGTGATGGTAAGCACAATCTGAGGCCTCTTCTGCGGACCCACCAATTTTATTTTTATTAAAGCTTCTTCTAAATAAAAAGCAAAGTGAAATGGGAAGATGCTATGTTAAAAAGCATGGGTCTCCCATCTTATTCACAAGGATACTTCTTACAATATTGTGATAGCGCTGTATCTGTACTCAGTGCCTTGCCTGTAACTTTTTCCATCTCCCCCCAAAATAGGCAATAGTAAGCTTTGTATTGATAACCCTTTGGGTATGGGATTATTATAGCAATAGCACTTAGACTTATATACCACTTCACAATGCTTTTACAGCCCTCTCCAGGCCTATTGTCCCCAACAATCTGGGTTCTCATTTTACCCACCTCGGAAGGATGAGTCAACCTTGAGCCGGTGAGACTCAAACTGCTGGCAGTTAGCAGAATTAGCCTGCAATACTGCATTCTAACCACTGCGCCATCCTGGCTCTTGATAACTGCTATTAACCCAGTAATTAACTGAGAATCTGCTCAATATTTGTTTTGTGATTGGCCACAATCTTATGTTAGCTATTTTACAAGAACATGAAGAATGTCTTCTCAGTATTCTAACTGTGCCCCCACATTGAGCTGTGGCCTTTCCTATTTCTTGTATCACCTCAATGTGTTACCTCATTTTCTCTTCTACATTCAACAGAGAGCAGCCTTGGAAGCATGTCATAAAGGTTGGGGAGTGAGTGTGATAATCGGAGTTGCTGGCGCTGGTCAAGAAATTGCTACCCGTCCATTCCAGCTGGTTACTGGACGAACATGGAAAGGGACTGCTTTTGGAGGTACAGCTGTGCTGGGATACAACCATTGATGTTGCTGGGCTGGGATCTTCTCCCTTGCCAGTCTAGCAAGTACTTGGAAGTTGGAATTCCAGCATCTGGAGAGCTTCCCCAGCAAGGACTGTAGCATTTCTGTCCCATCCTCTTTTTATTGAAAAGAGGATATCTTCTCACTAATGTATTCTCGGTACCCAGCTTTGTGTGATATTAAAGACTACATATAGGTCTTTTAGAATGTGTTGGGAACTGTATGTAGACAGTGGAGAAAATGAGTGGTCAAAGTAGACATACCCAAAGTAAAAATAGTTTTTCTTACATTCTCCCCAGCAAAATAGTATCTCCTCCATGCTTTTCCGCATTCTTCTCCAGCTTAAATCCATTAAGCTGAAACACAAAATTGGCAGCACCTTTAAGTAGTGATAGTTAGGTTGTTACTGGTTATACTCTCATATTCTAAAAAAAAAAAAGGTTTGTATAACTTGTAGAATGTATAATCCAGTGGTGGTATTCTACTGGTTCGACCAGTTCTGCTGAGCCTGGTAGCGGTGATGAGCAGTGGAGAATGAACCGGTTCTCTCCGCCACTCTGCTGTTGGGTCCACCCACCTTCCTGGGCTTCCATACTCACCTTTATCCTCTGAATTTGAAGCGCAGCTGCTTTGCGCGGCACAGAAGAATGCTGCGCGGCAGCTGCTGAAGCAACCGGGAGTGTGCAGGCTTGCAGGAGGTGAGTTAGAACGCCTCCGCACCTGCGCAAAGTGCGCATTTGGCACTCATGTGCAAAGTGTGTGCATGTGCACAAAGCGTGCCCACCAAGCCATGCCCACTGAACCAGTGGTAAAAATATTTGAGTCCAGGGGTGGGATTCAATTTTTTTAACAACTGGTTCCATAGGCATGTTGGTGGATATGGCTTGGTGGTCATGTTATTGGCTGGGTGTGGCCAATTCAATATCACTCACATCAAGGCACGCATCTCCTCACCTGGCCTCTCATGACTGTGGGGATGCTGCAACAGTCATAAGTGTGAAAAACGGTCATAAGTCTTTTTTCAGTGCCATTGTAACTTTGAATGGTCACTCCACACAAGCAAAGTACCAGCAAAGGAGGGGGAAAAAAAAGACTCCATAGAAGTTCCTAAGACAGGAAGTGTAGTCCTGCCAAGAATGTAATAAGGGTTAATGGAGAGGCAGTTTCTGTAAGCAACACCAGAATGCTTCCTTCCTACCTTCCCTACAGGATTAGGCCAGTAACAACTGGTTCTCCGAACTGCTTAGAATGTTAACCGGTTCTAGTGAATGGGTGCAAACTGGTAGAATCCCACCCCCGTTTGAATCCCACCACTGGTATAATCCTTCTTAGATTACCTTCTATGTAAGATACATCCTCTTTAAAACAACACTACACATTATGTGGGGCACAACTCTTGCTTCTAAAGAAAATTAAATGTACTTTCCTGCATTTAGTTACAATAAATATTAGAGACTTGATTATTATTTTAGCAGTGGTTGAAGATCTGAGTTTTGAATTTTAAGATTCACTTTTGTAACTTTTAAATTGTTGCCTGATACTGCTGTAAAGATGGTTCATAGGAGTATTTTATCTTGTGCTGATTCTACATTAAGTAATAATTTTATTTCATGTCAGGATGGAAGAGCGTGGACAGCATACCGAAGTTGGTAACTGAATACATGTCCAAAAAAATAAAAGTTGATGACTTTGTGACCCATACTCTACCTTTTAAGCAAATTAATGAAGCTTTTGAACTTATGCATGCTGGAAAGAGGTAAGTGTTTTGCTGCATGTTAAGTTTATAACACAATTTTATATAGGGCTTTTTTTAAAGAGAGAACCCCTCCTGAATAATTTTTAGTTGAGTAGGCCAAAGATTACCATTTAGTATTGCAACCTGTACAGCTGGCATTCCTTTTCTGCTTGCTTGCTTTTCTTTCTTTCTTTCTTTCTTTCTTTCTTTCTTTCTTTCTTTCTTTCTTTCTTTCTTTCTTTCTTTCTTTCCTTCTTTCCTTCCTTCCTTCCTTCCTTCCTTCCTCCCTCCCTCCCTCCCTCCCTCCCTCCCTCCCTCCCTCCCTTCCTTCCTTCCTTCCTTCATAGCAATATCAAGCTTTTTTTCCTTTTTTTTAAAACCATCTCATGTTACTTGGATCAACTCCCTTCCTTTGAATGGGAAGTGATATCAGTATGCCAGTTCGGGTGCTCGGGTATATTCCAAGGTTTTGAATTTACCCATTTAAAACTTTTCTTTTGATACGGGAGCACAATATCTTCAGCAAGATGTTAAAGGTATCTTTGTCTATTAAAAAAAAAGCTTGTGCTATACAATTTTATCCCATGAGCCATGAGTCAAAAAGAGGGCTGTGAAAATATCTACCAACCCCTCACATCCTGGACATAAATTATTTCAACTTCTACTCTCAAAACGACGCTTTAGGACACTGCACACCAGAACAACTAGACACAAGAACAGTTTTTTTCCGAATGCCATCACTCTGCTACACAAATAATTCCCTCAACACTGTCCAACTATTTACTAAGTCTGCATTACTATTATTGTTCTCATCCTTCCTAGTACCTATCTCTTTCCACTTATGACTATAACCGCGTTGCTTGTATCTTTACAATTTATATTGTTTTGTTTCCTAGTATGATTTGATTGCTTATTAGTAACCTATGACTATCACTAAGTGTTGTATTTTATGATTCTTGATGAATGTATTTTATTTTTCCTTTATATACACTGAGAGCATATACACCAAAGACAAATTCCTTGTGTGTCCAATCACACTTGGCCAATAAAGAATTCTATTGTATTCTATAAGCCTGAATGCCTCACGAGAGGGGCAAGTGACCAGAATCTTCATTTTAAATTTTAAACGTTATATCTTTTCCTTGTAATCTTACACTGGGAAGTGTAGAACAAGGGGAATTCAAACAGATAGAGTGGGCAAAGGGTGAGTTACAGAAAGAAATCCATTAATTTGACTTTTCGGTTGCACTTGATGGGAAGAATTGCAGAATGCATGGAGGGATAAAAAATACTGTTATTTGTCTGAAATTATGAATTTAAGATGATCTTCTGAAACATATTGATAAAAAAATGGTGTACAAAAATCCTCCAGTTGGTGCCCTGTCAACCTCTCTTCTTTTCACTGGAAATGATGAAATAAAAACTGAAAATGGGATGAAAGAGTAGGTTTAAACTGCTGAGATTGATATGCAAATAAACTGCATTGCTGAGCATTCTGGAATTGTAGTCCTCACCTCTGTAAAGTGCATAGGCTGGAGAAGGGGGATAAGAGCATTTTTGTTTTGACTGTACAATTATTTGATTTATGATTGTGTGATTTCTCTTTAAGGTATTTTAAGTTTAGAATACAAAATGCTTCTCTATTTACCTCCAATAATTTCATTTTCTTCAATGTCTTATTTACCAGAAAAAATAACATTGTCTTCTTGGTGATTATAAGCCAAGCCTTGGATAATTTGAGGAAAAATACATTTTTCTTTCTAGTAAATACAATAAGAAATCTTACTTTTATGGTAAAGTATAAATAAATGTTTATATTTTTTTTCTTTTCACTTTTACAGCATCCGAACTGTTCTGAAACTTTAAAACGTCTGAAGATATAATGTTTAATTCAACACACTGTTGGGAATAATTGTAATAATCAAGTTGAAACCTTGCCTCTGCAACGAAAAGCATTGATCATGCCTTAAAATAGCACACACCAGCTGTTTGTTTAATACTGTATACAGTCTAACTTTTTCCATCTTAGTTGATCAGGAAATATCAAAGGTCTAGATTGAACTGTTGGTTTATTTAAAATCAAAAACTATTTTTAATTTTTCTAATAATTAGTTTAGGGTATTTCTCCCCCTGGAAAAAGAATGATTAAAACTTGTCATTACCTTATAAGGATATATGTATGATGGTTTTTTTTCCTTTCAGATTTACTCACAATTCAGGGATTCTGGTTTGTTTCAATAGAGATGATGAAAGTCAAGCAAAAAAAATAGCCTTACTATAACCATGGATTGTGTGAATAGGCTGTTTATGGTTTCCAAGAACAATTTAACTCTATGAATAAATAACACGGCTCCAAGTTAGACCTATTACAGCTTTTATTCAATGGGGGTGGGGTGGATGGGGAATAACAATAAGCAGAAAAATCCCATCAATTTATCTAGATTACCTATACTCATGTATTTCTCTGATATTTACTCAGAAATACGTTGCCTTCCAGCCTTCCCAATTGCCAATGCGAGATCACAATTCTCATGAATTCTAGATTTCTCTGACATGGCAAGACAGTTCTAGGGGCCTAAGATGTCAAGATGTTAAAAGTTGTTTCCGTAAGATTACAAAGAAAACTATTTTTGCTAATTAGAACTGGGTTTCACCTTTGTTGAATCCACTGCTCCACAATAATTTCAGGTGTGGCTTTTTTTTTTTTTTACATGTAGGGTACAGTTCAAAGGTTCCTTATTTTTCTGGAATGTTAAACATGTTTGGAGTTTTGAAAATGTTATGGGGCATTCTCACAAATAAGCTGAGATAATGGTGGTTGGTTTTGTTGAGAACCTTTTGGGGTACCAGAAGTGGGGTTTGGTAGGAAATGTCTTCTAAGTAGCAGTTGAAACCTAAAGTTTCTTATCTCCTAGAGCTTTGCTGGCTGAGGAATTCTGGGAGTTGAAGTCCACAGGTCTTAAAGTTGCCAAGGTTGGAGACCCCTGTCCTAAAGAAAAGGTTCATCTCAATTAGCATAACTAGTAACTGATAAAGATGGATGTAAATAGCAAAATTACATGTAACAGACTGGTGCAGTAAAATTAACCTTTAGACCAGATGAACTTTCTCAGTCTCCTCTTCAAAAGGTGGGAATATTGGACCCGTTGTGCAGTGACCAGAAATGTACTTCAAAGTAAGTGCCAACTACTATTTTAGGTCATCCAGAGATAGCTGATTTACCATAACCAAAATGTCAGGGAGAGTCATAGTTAATACTCTTACCCAGTGAGGCTAATTTTTGCATCTGATGCAGGAAAGTTACTGTAGTCTATGAGCAGTTATTTGTTTTCTAAAAAAGTCTTGGTATTTAATGTGCTTCAAGCTGTTGCTGGGGGGAAAAAGAGAGAGAAAATGAAAGGGAGTGAACTTGGTGAACGCACTTTGGACTATCATTGTGGGGAAACCAGGTTAATTAGTGCGGTGCAGAAAGTATAGGATTAAACTAACATACATGGTTCTAATTCGAGGCTCTTTTGGTAAAGGCAACATGGAGTTCAACTATCACATCAAGCCATAATGTAGCTTTTTTTTTTTTTTTTAGCTTTAAGAGGGTTTGTATGAAACCAACCAAGGGCTTGTAAATCATGTTTGTATCTATCTCATCCAGCTGAGATTTATTCAATTCAAATATATGAATCTAGTCTAAAATAAAGCCAAAATCAGAAGTCGGCGTTGAAATACATCTAAAATTTGGTTCTAGAAGCAAAAGTGCAAGTGGTGCATAAATGACATCATTCCTCATCTGGCACATTTTCTCTGCTGCTGTTGGTCCCTATCTGAACTTGGTGGATTTTCTGTTCTACCCTTAGACTTCTTCGCCCTAGTCCCTTTGTTGCTGGTTTCCTTCCTTCTGATGCAGGCACCTCGATGTTCTGCCACATCATTCTCGCTTTAAAATTCAGGTCCACTTTCTGGAAACTTTGTCCTGATGGAACTTGGCAAGGCTCAATGAGGTACAATGGTCTTCAGCTTTCTTTTAAAAGCCATGAAATTCCAGTAGTCCTGACTTTTCAGCAGTCTTCTGTATGAGCTCCTGTTTGCCAAACCTTCATTAACCAATGTGCCCATCTACCAATGTACCCTTTGCTATACTAACTCTTTTAGAATCAGCCTGTTTAAAGACTTCTGTCCCCCCACAAATATCTTTTCCAGGCACCCAAAGAATAAGCAAAGCACGACTCTCAGGGCAACAACAGTACTTCCATTTAGTTGCCCTGTCACAACTGCACTTCTTACACATTCACACACACACACACAAACAAAAGAACAAACTCTAGGCTAACCACCCAGACTTCTCATCTCTTTTCAATAAATAACTTATCCTTTTTGTCATACCTGTTCTAAACCTCCAAAGAACAATAAAGTCAGATACTGCTGATGGAAGTCGAGATCATTTAAACAGCTTACAATGATTTTATAACTAGCACAGAGCAGAAATGAGCATATTATGCCCATGATTTTATGACTTTTATTTGTCTTCATTTCTGTTGCTGTACTTCAACACTGTATGGATGAAGTAGGCACCAGAATTAAAAAATGTGGTTGAAAAATCATTCTCATTACAGAATACAAAGCTAGATGGAAAACAGCCACTGACCAACAAAATGAAGCCTTCCCTGACACAACTATGGTAAATCTGTATAACCAATTCATATAAAGGGACATTATCATACTATCACCTTTGTTGCTGCTCTAAGGGCCTTTGGGGAAAAGATGAATTATTTCCAGGACTATGAATTTTGTCCAAATCTTGCACATTTCAAAGGCATTATCTTTGCTACAACAACTTCCTTGTCATGAAGCATCACATTGGCCAGTTGCAACAGCACCTTCACCTGGTTTGTCAAATGCCTAAGAACATTTCAGAAAAATAATGTGATAAAATATGCCTTGGGAAACATGTATCATATCTTACTTTCCTGTCTGTGGCTCAGTTCTCATTACCACTGGCAAAGTTTTCCCCTTTAATCTGCAGTGATTTCAGTTGTTATGGACTAAAAAGCAACCATTTCTGATCCAGTTCCTGACAAATCCCAAAGTATCACTTGGGGTACCGTGATGAAATCTTATCAAGTGAGCCCTACAGTGGATATTTGATCATGGCAATGAAGTCATATAGAGTCACAAATGTTACTATGCATGGTAGACAGGAATTCTTTGTATTTTTTTTTTCTATTTCAGTTGAAATAACAGCTTTTTAGTAGTGGAATTTTAGAACCTTATTGTCTGTCAAGTGCTACCCATCTTAAAGCCGTAAGTTAGTAAAAGCTCAAACCAGGCAGGATCTCAGTAATTTTGGCCTCCCTGCCTCACTTCACGGCTTTTTACAGAGAACACCTGGGCAAAGGCAAACTCTCTTCATTAACTAGCAGTTATTGTACTTCTATGTACAATTACAACACAGGCAACCAAAATGGTAGAAGGAAAGGCAGCAAGGTTCTAGACTAGAGGGACTAGTACACAGTACTAGTTTCATTTATGTAGTATATAATGCCACCTCTGAGTTGTAAACAGATGAAAGCCTAACCTGTTTAAAACTGCCTTTGCAGCACAAGCTAAGCAGGGATTGCCTTTGGAACAAGAATAAGTTCAAAACCTAAAGTAAGCTCTCACATTCACCATGAAAAACGTTGTCTTAGGTACACCAGCTGACAACTGGCAGTGACAAAATAATCTGAATCCCAGCTTTTTGTTTGTTTGTTTTTGTTGTTTTCTTTTGGTAGGTGGAAAGGAAAACAAAGGGGTGCTACTTGGAAATTCTTTTAAAAAGTTCAAACAATGTTGGGGTCCTCTGCATCAGATTCTTCAGAGTTGTACGGTGCAGATTTGCATTTCCCTTATCTATAGGCAATGACAAGAAAACAGGTGATAAAATCCCCCTTCCAATCTGTACATTAGTAAAATGAATAGTACAAAATGCTCATTTCAAGGTCTTCACGTGGCTTATACTAGCATTGGGTCATGAAGTGAGGACGAATGCTATCCAACCGCCGGGTTAAGATGTCACACCCGGTATCTGTGACTAGGAGTGTGTGCTCAAACTGAGCAGACCGCTTGCCATCTCGGGTAACTGCAGTCCAGCCATCGGGCCAGGTTTCATCTTGCCACCCACCTAATGAAGACAACATAAACAGATTCAACACAGAGAATGAACATATACATCACAGCAGATACAGCTTCTGCAATTGTCTATGGAGATTCTCAAACATCGAGCCATGGTTGTCCCAAAGGTGCTTTTTCCAAAAGGATTTTTGCTTTGAAAACAATTAGCTTCTTATCCAAAAAATTTCTTTAGTTGAAGAAGTAGCTTCTTAGATGAGAAGGGAATTTTTTGCAAAGGAAAAAACAAGTCCAGTTGTCTTTTGGAAAAGCAGCATTTTTGGGATAGCCTCATCAATTGTTCATTTTTTAAAAAAGAAAAACTTCAGCTTTTTATTTAGGCATACTGCATAGTGTGTGTGTGCGTGTGTGTATATAAATATATATACAAAAAACATTTTGGCCTGCTTTTCATTAAACATAGAAGTATATTAAAGCCAATAGCCCGGCTATTTTCTCCCCTACAATCACCTTGGATAAAAGCGAATACAGTGGAACATCGGGTCAAGACCGTAATCCATTCCAGGACTTTGGTCATGACCCAATTTGGTCATGACCGGAACAAGACTGCGTACGCGCCTACACCTGAGGAACTGTTCGCAACTAGAAGCAACAATTTTCCAAAATTTTGGGTCATCACCTGCTTTGGTCACAAACAGAAGTGTTCATGACCCGAGGCTCCACTGTACATGGCCCCCTCCTCTATTTTGGGAGGCAATTGTTCCCCACCCTCTAAGAATGGCCCCAACATAAGAAAATTTATTGGTGCTTTTTCAGAAGCTACTTTTCAATCAATTCCCAGAGAAGACAAACTTTTAGCACGGGTTAATCTTTTAGCTAATGCTCATGTTTTTCCCCAAGGTTTATTTTAATAAGCATGAGGAAAAACTCATTTTCTGTCCACTGATCATTAGAGTAGTTTTGCTATCTGGACATTTATACACATATTCTACTCTGTCTACTACGCTAGTAATATAGACCATTTATAGGCTTCATATCTTTATTGTCTCTGCTTCCTTGCATTCCTATTAGTCTTTTATTTATTTAACAAATTATCTCTATGAAAAAATATGCAAAAGGATCCAATATTTGCCAATTTGTGGAAGATTTTTTTTTTTAAAGTGGTAAGAGGCCCTCTTAACTCTTTTAACATGATGACCTCTTATAATTTTATTTACATACATGAAACTCAAAAGTGTATTTAATAATTGAATT